TTGAATAATTTTTTTCGTTTGAAATTACGCAAGATGTCGCTTCCCCCTTCCGCTCGTTCTACAGTCGGCTAAATTTCAGTTAAACAAATAAAAAACAAAAAGCATTCATACAGCAGAAGATAAAATTCACCCCATCGACTTGATGGACACCCTATCATTGCGTATTTCGCCCTTCCTCTCTTGGGGTGCAGTACTAGGATGCCGCTGGGGTAATTCAAACCCCCCAGAACTGTGCCTTTGCTTCAGTCAATCCTCTTTGGTTTTTTTTTTTCAGTTTTTTGGTCTGGTTGATGCTCGCCAGGTGGAAAGGGAATGAGATTCTGTGACATTTCGTTTGTTTGAAAATGGCGACGGAGAAAGACCTAGTAAATGGTGAGCTATGATTTTTATTTTTAAGAATTATCGATTGAATTTAATTTTCAATGATACTCGCAGCTGTGAGGGATTCCCTGGAGGCGGGTGGCGAGCTTGGACGGATCAAGGCGGAAATGCGAAGTGAAGTTATGAAATTATTGGATGGGTCTTCAGCGGCAAATCGGACGAAGAGACCCGAATCTCCGCGGGATGTTATTATTTTGAATGAATTGATACGAGAGTACCTAGATTGGATCGGCTACAAGTACACGTTAAATGTTTTTATATCAGGTAATTTTTCAATAAGTGCTAGAATAAAATAAATTGAATTTAACAACTTTGAATCTTGCAGAATGTGAATTTGGAAAACAGCCTCTCGACCGCACATTCCTAGCCAAGGATTTGGGAGTGCAAGAAACTGACAGCACAAATAAATTACCCCTCCTCTTCAGTCTCGTAGAAACCTTCAGAAGTTTAAATACTTCACACCAAGAATAACAAAAGTAATGAGGCAATACTCCCCTTAGAAAGTGCCTCCACTAATTTCCAAATGTAATTTATAACAACTTAATCCTAAGGTAATAATCGATTAAAAGAGTTCAATTGATATTATAATAATATCCGCATTGATTTATTTTTTACAGAACTACTCTCTTTATTCTCTTTATAATATCGCCAAAACATTATGAAAGTACAATATAATTATGATAATATCAACTCTATTGGGTTTCTCACATCATATGGAACTATCAATCGGATTTATTTGCACAGCATCCATTCAAGACTCAATCCTTATTAAACAGAAGAGAAAGAATAAATAAAATATTGAAAAGTATTCCCCTGAAAAGTAAATAACTAAATTACACGATAGACCACTATCATTGCTCTCGGGTGTGGAGCTCGACGCTGAATATTGTATCGAGTCACTTAAGATTCATTAAAAATTCTTTAATGAAACCACAGTTGAACGCACCCCTGCGTTTAGCCTAACGACGTCATTTATGTTTGGATTTCTTCTTTTTCTTGGATTGTTTGCTTTTACTCTTCGATTTTTTTGACTTTTTCTTGTGCCTCTCCTCCTCGGAGCTGGAGTCAGACGAATCCGAATAAGAGTCACTATCACTGCTGCTGTCCTTTCTCATTTTCTTCTTCTTATGCCTCTTATGCTTCTTCTTGCGCTTCCTGTGCGAGTCCTCGGAACTGTCAGAGTCTGAGGAGGAACTCTCAGTGGAACTTGAGTCATCATCGGAGCTGGATTTGACCCTTTTCTTTACCACTTTGGTCTCGTTCTCCCTCTCACTGGTCTCCGGCATTTCCTCGAGCTTCGGCTTCTTCCCAGTCTTTCCCTCCTCTCCTTCACTCTCTGAGTCAGATGCTGAATAATCGGGCTCGAAGCTCGCTTCATCGAGAACCGAGCGCTTACGATCAGAAATCAGTTTGGGATTTTTCCTCATTTTCTTGAGGACCGGCTCGTCCCCGGGATTTCCTTCAGATACCATTTTCTCATCACCCCCTTGTCCCTTCTCATCCCTGTGCTTCTGTTTCTTTTCCAGTGACTTCTCTTTGTCCTTCTTGTGCTTCTTATCCTTCTTCCTCTTGCGTTCTCGAGACTTGCTGCGACTCCTGTGCTCTTTCTTCCTTTTCTTCTCCTCCCGAGCTTTTCTCTCCTTCTTCTTATCAGACTCCAGCTCCTCGGACTTGCGCTTCAAGGGATTTGGTTTGTCCTCTCTCTTGTGTGAAGGAGGCGTTCTACCTCTTCGATCCCTTTCTCCACGAGACTCCGACCTGTAGTCATTCCTTCCGTGTCTCAACTCGGCCTTACCCTCGACTTTGGAGTCCCTGGGGTCGAGCCTGTCAACCCTCCCGCCACTCTCATCCCTCGAGCGTACACCCTTGTGCTTTCTGTCTTCAAGAAAGACCTTTCGGTCACTGTTCAATGACAACGGTGGATCCACCCGTCTATCAAGCAACGGCGATATCTTCCTCTCTCGGATTTTCGGTGATTTCGATCTATTTCGATCATCACTCTTCAGCTCCCTTTTATCCCCCAGTTGCCGAATAATCGGTTTCTTCTCTTTATCGTCCTCGATCTTGTCCCCCAGCCTCTCCTTAGCCGATAGTCTCGTTGGTGAGTGTGATTCACCCTTGAACTTTGACCTATCCAATTTGCCCTTCTTCACCGGCTCAGTGATCTCAACATTTCTCTCATTTCTTCCAACATTTATCGTCACATTAACACTTTTCCTCTCACGACTAGGCTCTGGCTCTACTATCTTTGGCTCGGGATTCTGATAAAGTATCTTTCTACTTTCGCTTATCTTTTTTATTTCGATTGGCCTAATAGCATTAATGGCTTTCTGGAATATAGCGTTCTCTGCGCGTTTGAGGACCTCCGAGGTCACGACTTTCGTACACTTGAATTCGTCAGTGGATGGTTCTGGGGGTTGTGGTGACACCAGGATATTCTCGTCGGATTTCTCGGTGGTATCGTCACGTTCCCACTTCGAAAGTTCTGGCAGTGGCGCCAGAAACTCGTCCTTCTTCGGAGATTTCTCCTCGCGAGGGGGACTTGCTCTTGTTGCAGACGTGCTACACGCTGATTCTTCTGGATTCTGAGATGACTCGGGCAAACTCTCGGTTTTAATTACTTTGTCGCCTTCAGGGAGAAGGGCGTATTTAACTGTTATCACGGTATTAATCTCTGTGTCATCCAACCCACCATAAAGACTCTCTGTCGGCTTCATTTCAGCTTTCAACTCTGGGATGGGCTTGAAGTTGGGGTTAGGAGGATTTTGAATGTGTTCGGAGTCTAATTGTTGGAGGGGATCTTGTCCAGACAATTCTGGAGGCTCTGGATTAATTGTCAATGACTTCTCCTCAAAATCAGTTCTCATTGGAGTTGACACTGGAGCACTGGCCTCAATAGATTCCTCTGGAATCTGTTCGATCATCTCGGCTTCTGGCTTGAGATCTGAGGGAGTGTCTTGTTTGCCATCGAGTGTAAAATCAGTGTCAGCTTCCAACTTAGCATGTTCACTCTTCGCCTGTTCTCTCAGTGTTTTCTTCTCCTTTTTCTTTTTCTTCTTCTTTTCCTTTTCCTCACTGTCTTTCTTCTTCTTCTTATCCTTAATCTTCTTCTCCCTCTTCTTCTCCTCGGATTTCTCCTCGTGATCCTTCTCCTTCTTCTTAGATCTCTCTGGAGAAGAGTCCTTGTTCTCGGATCGGGATTTCGGTAGATGAGGACTCGAGCTTTTCTTTGATTTTTTGTGGTCGGCTGAATGCCTCTCGTGTCGATCTCGATCTTTCTCGGACTCGTAGTCGCGATCCTTTCGATCTTTCTCGCGGCCCCGGCTCTTCTCCTCAACCCTGTGACGATCTCGTTCGTCTCTGTAACGAGTCGCATCGTAGTCCCTTCTGTCTGGTTGTCTGTCCTCCTCTCTACGGTCTCGCGGATATCTGTCCTCACGCTCTCTTTCCTTTTCCTTTCTGTCGTCCTTCTCACGTACAACTGGTTTATCCCGATCCTCTTTCTCACGGTCACGTTCTCGATCTCGATCTCGATCCCTTTCCAACGGGCGACGATCCCGCTCTTCCCTGTCTCGATCACGATCCCGAGCCCTGAGGAATCGGGTGATTATTGATATTGAGAGATTAATTAATAAATATTGTAAAATTTTGATAAATATCGTTTTCATGGGCCTGATTTCATTCTAAAAAAATATATTGAGAGATTTGTAATCTTTCCCCTTTCCGAAATTACGAAACCCAGAAGATGCAATTCCTGAGGACACTAGTTGCCTTGAATAATGCCTTAATTTTAAAATAACATGTACCTATCCTCCCGCAGTCTCTCCTCGCCATCTCCAACCTTTCCATGATCCTCAACATCTTTGATCCCTCTTGGCCTTTCACGATCCTCTCTGGACCTCTCGGGATGATCAACTCCGGGTGGTGGCAAATCGTAATATCCCTCAGTTCCCGGTGGAGCGACATCATCGAAACGCTTGTGATCACGAGGAGGACTGTTCAATCTCTGGGGGAGTCCACCAGCATACCTACTGAAACAGACCCACAAACTGTTAACATCAATCTCCCCCATGCCCACTACCAACTGAGGACTCACACATTTTCTAAACTCAATCTATCCATTCATCTATTCCATCCACTCATCATTTTACTCAAATCCCGGATTATATGACTCCAGGAAAACTAATTTTCCATTACCTCCAGCCAAAGAATCAGAAATATATTGTTTTGTAATGTTTAAAACAATGTATTTGCATAAAAATGCAAGAACCTATTCTCTATTATCGTTTTGTCAAGGATTTGCCGTGTCTCTCGGTATAATTTTTCGTGAGCTCGTTATCCCAGGAGCACTGCCCAGGCTGAAAATTCGAAAAACCGTAATTAACTACTGATAAATTAATATTGCCGTCAATAATCCTCCACCTGTGGACTCTAACTGAAATATAATGTGTATGAATGTAAATTAGTTTCTGAAATCAACATTTATAACCCACGATAGATTATTAAGAGTATTTAATTAATACTGGTCATTGAATTGCAAATAACAAAGCGAATAACTGAGTTATAAGTATTGATTTGGTCCTGAATTCACCTGAATCAAGAACCAAGTCGTTGTGTCGAGTTGGTTACGTCCTTAGCTTCTCCACGTCCACAGCCAGCTCTCCAGATAAATCTCGCGTCCTCTTCACTCATCATGGGACTTTATATCTCTTTTGCTTTTCTTTATTTCGTACAATTATCACAGTTTTTCATACAGTTTTTTTTTTCAAACGAATATTATCAATGATTCACACGAGGATATTGTTTTTACAAAATTCCTTTTCATCAATGACTAGACTTGTGAAAAATAATTCAAAGGCGCTGCCTCTTCAAAATTTGATTAATTAATCATTAATGATTTAAATTCAATCTCTGACATCAGTCTTCAGTTACTCATTTCTCCAGGGGAATATCAGTACTGGATTTAAATATGATATGCTAGTTCATTTCACTCGTTTCGATATCTCACAATTGACCTTAAACTAGTTTACAGGTACATTCGCAGTCTTCATATTCGATTAGTTCAATTCAATAGTTTCCTTCATTCATTAATAATACGGAATATCACTCTCACTCTCCATCCAGTAAATTCGAGTCAATTGATTCATTTATACCCAGCATCAAATGTCAATAATTAGTGCAAGTGTTCAATGAGAATCGTGACAACAGTTGGGCATACATGCATTAATGACTGTATAAAAAAATTGTATCGAAAAATACTCAGTGTTCTTTAATGCATTCAATAGACTACTATCACCTTCATTCATGTACGCAGTTTAGAGTATTGAAAAAAATAATCCATGATATTCAAATTTCAATGAATTTTCCTCAGTACTTGATGTGTTCATGGAGATAATAATAGAAAATCATTTCTCTCAGTCGTTATAGAATTTATCTAACAAACATTTTGAATTTTATCGCAGCTTATCATCAGTCTTAATGATCTCTTGATATGTATCAATCGAATATCGAGAATAATGAGAAAATAAACGAGTGTGTGGTACTCGTACGTAAGATTCAGTGCGCAGTTAATAAATACACGAAACATAATACAATTGATGCGAAAATACCTGTTGTAGGAATCATAATAGTCTTTCCTTTCCGGTTGTTGTGTTGCACCCATTGACATTGGTGGCATTGCGTGTGATAGCAATGGTGGTATATTGTGCGGAGTCGTTTGATTCCGGGGAGGGTAACGTGGCCCTCTTTCACGATTTGATATGTCACGTTCACGCTCACGAAAACCGTACTCATTTGCCGATGAATCGTTGTAATAACTGCTGTACTGTTCACGAGACTCACGGGGAGGCTCACGGGATCTGCCACGATCTCGGTCGCGTTCGCGATCTCTTTGGAATCTGCAAAATACAAGATTCAAAATGCAAACATTCAAATTTAATCCAACATCATTTCATTTCAGGCGATTCCTCAAGTTATAGTTGTTCTCATTGTTCATTTTTTTTTTAACTAGAGTGAAAAGAATAATTACCTCGGAGGTGATCTAACAGGGGATCTGTACCGTGGAGGCAAATCACGCTCCCTGTCCCTATCGCGTTCTCTCTCCCGTTCTCGATCCCTTGAGATCGAACCTCTCGGGGATTGACTACGAGAATACGATCTTGACCTGCAGGAAGATTAATGCATTAAAACATAAATGCCAATTAATTAAATTTTTATCTCCATGATGTCGACAACTACTCGCTTGAATATTGATAGGTTAAGTAGAATAAATGAAGATGATTTGATTCTCACCGACTGATAGAGAAGCTTCCACTGCGAGACCTCCGCTTTGGCGTTCTGCTACGCCGAGGTGGTGGTGATCTTGAGGGCCTTCTCTTTGGCGGGGGACTTCTCGACCTACTCATGCGAGATGGTAGTGGTGAACGGCGACTAAATGAACGAGAACGTGATCTCGTGTAACTGCGTGATCTTGAGCGAGTTCTGGAGCGTCTCCTGTGTTTACCTAGCCTCCTATCTCGCTCATCTTTTTCCCGCAGCATTCGCTCAAATGCCTCCAGAGGATCATCTATAACTCTGTAACAAATATTGGAGGAGGGATTCATTTCACGTAATTCAAGAACCATTCTCAATTTTTTTATCGTTTAGTACGTAATCTGGAATTGACTGGAGATGATAGAAATTGTGCAAAACATCTTGAAGACAACTAGAATCATTTGTTGTACTCACCCAGGTGGATTCCCATTATGCATGTTTCGACCGAGTCCGGGGGGTGGCGGCTGCATGCCTCGATATCCTCCTAGAAATATCATAACATATAATTTCTGTTTTTACATTTAATAAATAATGAAGAGCTCCGAGTTACACTTACGATGATGCATTCCCCTTATTGGCCTCGGGGGTCCATTGTAATTTCTCGGTGGCTGAGAAGATCTGTAGCCAGTCTGTTGATACGGTGGCCTGTCATACCTAGGTGGCCCATAGTGTGGCCCCTGCTGATGGGGATACATGGGCATTCTGTGGCCCATGTACGGATCGGGTAATAATGGAGGATTGTGAGGAGCCATTCTTGGGGGTGGTTGATTATAATTTTGAGGTGGTGGGGGCGGTATACATTCTTCACCAGGTGGATATGGCAGCAGGGGGGCTTGATTTACAGATGTCTGTGAATGCAGATGGGGCTCATCGACCTGGAATAACAAGCGTTTCGATCAATCAATTAAAAAAAAATTGTAATTCCCTAATTAATTGGTGTTGATGTGGTAACTTACAGTAGGTGTTCCAGGGCGATCTTCAGTCGATCTCCTCAATTGAGAATCATAATGCATGCTCGAATATCTTTGATTACCAGTTGGCATATTCTGATAACCCTTTGACTGATTCATCATGTGAGGAAGTGGTGTCCCATGAGTCTGGTAATCCTGTCTCTGCCTGGGGGATAAAGATCTCCTCCTGTTCATAGATCTTATATTTTCAATTCGTCTTCCCCCATCCCCAGTCCTTGAAAAATTGATGACCATATTTCAATTATTAAAATCCCATCAGCCCCATAAAATTTCCAAGATTTTTCATTTCGATAAAAATGTTGAAACCGTAAACAATAGAAATAATGCACACCTGTCGCGAATTCCCTCTTTGCTGTAACTCCTGTGACGATCCCTGGATCTTCTGTCCTCCTCGTAATCATCGTAATCTCCTCCATAATCACCGCCATAATCATCTTCGTGCTCCCGTCTTTCGGAGCAGTGGACCTCAGTAGAATCACTCTCTTTCTCAGGGGATTTGCTCGCCGATGGAATTGGGAGCAATGGCTCAGTGCCAGGTGGGGGTGGTGGAACTACTTCAGAGTCTTCATCAGCAACTGGTGGCACGACGTGTTCGGGTATTTCCCGCACAGGTGTAGATTCTTTTTCATCTAAAAATAATTAACTCGATCGATGAACTACTATTCCTCGCATTGAGGGAGTTATTTTCGTTTTGCATACATTTAATTTATTATTAAAGCATGAAGAATAATACGCAGCAGCAAAACAATCAATTCTCTCCAGCTAAATGAATTTTCGGTGAAAATTACGTCATTGCGCCTAGGTTTGGTTAAGGAAAGTTCGAAGGAAGGTTAACATAAGCATTAAATTGGATAAAATAAAGGTAAACTCTGTTCCAGCGCATGCGTCCGGGTGTCACTGCTGCACACTCAAGAATCGACTGATCATTATTAGAATTATTGAAGTATAAATGATTCACCTAAGGTTCCTGGTGGTGGGTCTTCGGTATGTAGACTCTCCTTCGGGGGTTCTTGAAGAGATTCGCGCTGAATTACCTCAGTTTTCTCATTATCGACAACTGGAGCTAGAGGCTTAACAGATGGTGGATAGGGTGTCTTCTTGGCGTAGCCAGTTTTGTTATTGAACTGGAGGACGTTTCCACGAAGGTAGCGGTTCGGGATGAGTGTCTCTGGGGACACGTCTTTCTCGTTGCAGCCTGGACACTCATGTTCCTCTGATTCCAGGAGGGACGATCGTATACCTGGAATAAAATTTTCACCAAAAACGTTGATGATTACGTCATTTATCATTTTATTAATTCAATAATGAAGGGATGAATGAAATCGGTTGGAATTAATTAATTTTGTTTTGATTATTTATAGATGATTTAAACCTACATTCATCACAGTAAGAATTTCCACAGCATGGGACCATGACCGCATCAGTCAATAAATCTTTGCAAATACTGCAAATCAGATCCTCAGGAATCTCGGGTTTTTCAGCAGCTGGTTCAGGATCTTGAAAGAATGGAGGCCTCTCCTTCTTGCCCTCCTTGTAAGCCTGGTGATCAATCGCTGGGACAGCGTAATGTCCAGTGGGTGTCATCATGGCACCGGGCACCAGTGGGCCCTCGACAGGCACCATAAAACTCCTCGGTATTCCGGTACTCTTTTTAATTTCAATGGGCTCTTGAGTCGCACCCAGTGGACAATTCTTTATCCAATGACCTGGCTGGTGACACTTGTAACATCTGTAGTTCGGCGGCACCTCACCAGTTTGATTTGCTCCACGAATTTTCATGTAGTTAGAGGGATCGTAATCCTGGGTGGATTGCGTCATCATGGCACGAATTTTATCCTCCTCGGAACCATCCAATCTGGTGAGGTCCACTGTGTGCCCCATTCCAGATTCATCTTTGGCGTTTGAGAATGATTGGGGCTCATTGCGATCCCAAGACCTTTTCTGCTGAACTGTCAAGGGAATTCGAGCTATTATCAAGCTCGTGTTTTTTGCTATCAGGGCATTGTCGTCGGTGTAATCTAAATTCAGAAAAAAACATCTGGTTTATTTCAAAATTTCCGAAAGATTTGATAGCGTACATCTTAATTGCGCTCAATTTTAATCCTTTCCATAATTTCCGATCCAAAAAAATATGAGATCAATTTCATTTTTCATGATTTACTTTAAAATTATTCATGAAATGATCCAACTTTATTTCGCTGATTAATAGACACACGTACCCTCTTTCGTTTGTGCATTAGTTATCTGAAGATCGAAATCCGTATTTTTACCAAGACGTTTTTGGTGAAATATAGCCTTCTTGAGATCAGCAATTGAGATGTGGAGTCCATCGAAGGATACCGTGTCGAAATCCTTGGTGGACTTGAACTTGTAATGCACGGACATGATCAGTATATTGTACCCTGTAAAAATTGAAAAATCCAATTGATGATGAAACTGCATAATTTCTAGGTTAGTAGTACGTAACAAAATAGTGTACGATACGTGAGGATTTTTGAAAAGCTATTCATCAAATAGAAATGGGAGTTTAACCTTCAATATCACCGTTACGCGGTTTTGGTCCGATTAAATTAAATGCCTTAATGAAATCGAGCAGTCGTTAACACGTAAGCCATGATTAATTGAATGCAGGGTGAAATGATATCGAATCGAAGTAAAAAAATTGTCTTCAAAAGAAGCCGGGGCATAGAGATCAATGCTGGCTTGTGTGCTTTACGCCGTTCTACTCCGCCATAAAATTACAAGTACACGAATAAATCGACCACAAAAATTCAGGTAAATGGTACTTACACCGGCTCGCATTGCGCTCGAGAGTGCTTCAATTTTCTTCGATCAGTGGCGGAAGATTGATGGATAAATTATCACTGAGACCACTTCCAATGGGCCAAGTTCGGTTTATGTATGGACTAACAAAAAAAAAACCTCGTACGGCAATGGGTGCTTCCAGGAAAAATTCTACAATCACTGAAACACCCTCTATAGTGAAGGGGGAAGGCGTTGGGGTACAGTTCGTTCAGATCAGATACATTCTAGGGAAAATGGCGGTTGCAAAGTCCAAAAAGTGGAAGGCTGACGGAAATGTATGACTATGATCGTATGCACACGGAAATTTATGGACACATTCTCAAATGAACAGATTTGGGCAGACGGTTAAGGAGGACTCGGTATTGCAGACATTCTGACGAAACAGTTTTGTCGTAAAAATCGTTAAGGGATTGCACTGCAATATTTCAAACCACGAAATCGTCACGGGATCACAATTTCGGTACGAGTACGTCGTGGTGGCGGGTCGGTTTCGGCTTACGGGTCTTACTCTTACGGTCATTTGTGAAATTTTCAGGTATTTCGAGATCGATTTCCCTACTCCTTTTCATTTTAAGACAGGGTAGAACTACACACTACGTTATACTACCTTTCAGGTAATATTTGAAACTCCCGCCCAGAAAGCCTAATCCATTTATTACATAAAACGAGGAAAGTGTTTTTCATTTATTTAATTTTGGATGAAATTGATTGAACTTTAGCTAGGCGACTGCAAATTGACATGAGTTTTTAATTTAAATTCAGATTTGTAATTTAGATGAGAAATAATTCTGTCATCCCTTGGTAAACCATTGCAAGAAAAATTTCGATGGGTAAGATCTTCTGAGAAAATATCTGCAATACCGAGTCCTACTTAACCATCTGATTATAATTAATTTGTCTGAGAATGTCCAGATTTCCATGTCCATTTTAAATCACTTTCCAAATTCTGGAAATCAGTGGACGCCGGAAATTTCGAGTGACCAGTCCCTGGTTAAATCTTCGTGTAAATACCTGGGTAACTTTCCAAAAGACCATTAGCCTCGATCAAAACGACTCAATTTCGAAAAAAACGACAGAAGCGGAGGGAGAAGACACACCTTATATCCGACTCGTCTGTTGCTTCCGGTTTTGAGTATAGGATCTGTCTCTTGAAAAATGATCGGCTTTTTGCGATGCGCCTTGCCGCGGTAACCTCTGCAAACTCCGTGCCAAGTAATGGAGTCTCATTTTCAATGAAAATCCGTGGTTAGTACGCAAATGTGTTTTTCAGCGTGTTTAACGTGGAAAAGAGCTATTTTTTTTATCATCGAGTTGTGATAGTGAGAGTTTTAAACGACTTTGAACACCATTCGAACGCGTTGCCGCAGGTGAGTACGAAAAATGTGAAAAAATAAAAACAAGATGAATTGTACGATTTCGTCTTAACAAGGGGTCAACCGTATCGGGCTTTACGGTTGGTGTATAAAAAATATAAATATAACCTATATATGCATTACCTATCGAGACAAATATCAGGGACATGCATAGGGCGGTCAAACGATAAGAACAAGTCTCTCGGTTATTGTAAACAACAATAATGCCATATTTTTAATAAACAAATCACGACAATCATGATTTTGCCAACACTTGAGCGAGTGTAACGCAGCTGCCATATTGTTAACCATATTCTTCCATCTCTGTCTCTCTTTCTTCCAGACAACTCGTATTTTTCCACTGGCATTCGACTAGAAAGAACAAAATTCCACCAATTCCACTCTGTACGTGAAAAAAATTGATAGAATCCTCTCAACACCCAGCAATATGTGTTCAGTAATGCGAGCAGAGTTGTCTGAATTAACGGAATTTGCCCACTCCAAAAATGGTTACTCCACAACTTTATTTAGAAGAATATCCACTCCTTTAACTTTTCTTCCTCAATTTTACTATTTTGCTATTTTACTGTTCCACATTTGTTAAATTGGCGTTTGGAGGTCGACGGATGGTCAATCGGAAGACATCATTGAGGATAATTAACGCCACATTCCACCGGTGAACGTGCAATATATTTTTACAACACCCCCCTCCTCCTGCATCATTAAAATGTGGAGAAAAAAAATTACGGCTTTTCCGATGGATAAAATAAAATAGTGATGGAGTAATTCAGAGTTGGAGAGCGAGAGCTGCAATGAGCCCTTATGATAATTAAAGAAATCCTCATTAATTGGAATAATTATGATGATTACCCACGATATGCAAACTTGTGAAGAATTGCCGATTACATCCTTCCCTGGGGGCATTAAGTACAACGTTATACATGATGCCTCTAAGTATATCCAGTGGGAGTGTCTCTGGAATGTGGTCACACTGGCCGGACCGTATGCTTCTCTTTACCATGTTCATCTCGCTAAATTCTTCTTAATCTTTTTCTCATTCCCTTCTTCAATGTATACTCCTTCCCGTGCCATCGCCTGCGAGTTCCTTCACCAATAAAATCATGAAAACCCCCGGGACCGAGAGCTCGTCCTCAGCACCATCCACAACTGCTCATTTTTTTAAATTCCCCCAAGACCGTGTGAACTTTTCATTCTTCACATTCTAATACTATTTGAAATGGAGCTCCTCATCACTTTGATTATTTATCTCAAATATTCGAAGGAATGGAAATTTTCAGGGACGATCAAAAGTCTTGGACGAATTCGTGGAGTGAAGAGAATTTTAGTTAAATATATTCTGGTATTTCTAATTCATCTGAATTTCAAGAACATTCTGCACGTATTTTCTAGATGTTCAAAGATTTAGAACCCTCTCAGGTTTTTATGAATTTTATAGTAGAAATTTCAAACAATAATTCTCAGGTGTTCCGCAGACTTTCCGATTTTCCTAGCGTGCACCTAGAATCAGAAGTTGAATAGAATATTCGAGAAATCGTCGGAATCCCATGAGATCTCCATAAATCCCATGCAATTTAAAAGTCCAGTTGACAATCCATCCGCAAAGTGCGTCTTCACCGTGGAAAACGTAGAAATTACGGTTGTTCCGCTCGATGCGATCCCTTGGCATGTCGATCCTTTTCCGCACCGTCCGAATCTCTTACCTTAACGCCTCCCTATCCGTTCTTTTCCCTCATGCCCATGTATACCGTATTCCAATACATATATGTATTAGGAGCACGTGGATACGTCATGGTTGTGGTCTCCAACGAGGAAGAATCGGCCACCACTAGGAGACAGTGCAAAAAAAAAATAAGAAAAAAACAAGAAAGAGAGAGAAAAGATGATGGCAAAAACGCTTGAACGATGCGAAAAAAAAAATTAAAGGATAGATAGATAGGAGTGAGATCCGTACACATGTACGAGGTTTCGTAATGAATATATATCGGGATAAAATAGCAAAGGGGGAGAGGGTCGACCTTGCCCCGCAACTGGCTGAGTGCTTGTTGCCAAGCTACATTGTATATATAGTCATCGTACAAATGCACACATGTATATATGTACACTGCGGTGCCTGGTAAATGGAGAGAGGGGGACAATATATCCTATGTACATCGAAAGACTGTAGAGCAACAATGTTTATTACTTCGTAAAGCAAAATAGGGAGAAGTTGAGGGAAAAAATTATTCAATTTTCAGCGGTTGTGGGAGAGAACCGCGACTTCTCCACTTGTCGATACCTTTTACGTAAGTGCGTCATACCGGGGCATTATTTGGTGGTATTTCATTGCGATCTACCAACTCTGGTTTCGATACTCTTTTTCCCAGCAGTAGTCGTTGATATTAATTGCTTAATTATGTTATCATGTTAATTAGCCAGCAAGGAGCACAATTTTTGCGAATTTTGTGAAATATGAAATTGGACGGGGTTAACGGATTGCGTAATGAGTGCTCGTGTGGGTGAAGTATTTGGGCCAGGAATTACCAGGGGGGAGGGATAGGGGAGCTGAGTGGAGGAACAAAGCGGTGAGAAATATCAAGTACTGGTATCGTTTTGCGTTATGCTCTTTTACAGCGTGACACCGTTCTTCTGTTAATTGACCGAAGTTATCGGTACTTCACACCTCCTTGGGTTCTTTTTACCGACAATCAACCGCCCGGTGGTAATTGGGATGGATAGAAAAAATTACTTCAGAATCGATTCGAGTGTTTCACCTTGAAATTGGAAGAGAATTCCATTACTTGTTTCAATTGTCATGAAATGAATCTCAAATGAATCTCAAATGAGTTTGTATTAATATTCTCAGGAAGCTCTCACCTTTTGAGGATTTATTCAGACTTAATTCACGCTGAATTTTCAGATAAATAATTTCCTAAATCACCGAAATGTTCATGTTCTGATAAAAAATGTGTGTTTGGGGTGCATCATTAGGCCCCTGAGGAGTCGCTGTAGAGTCATAGAATTATCGTGGGGTATTGCTAATTCATGGCGAGGACAACCCCCGGTTCCACATGAAGGGTCTGAAACATAGATAGCTCGTGAATAAGAAAATGGAGCTGGCACGCGAGACACGGGATACTCTCTGAATGCAACAATAACAAACGTGTGAGGACATTGACGATGCGCCTCGTCGGACCACGGATAATGCGCGGCTGTGGACATGCCGAGGTGACCAAGAAGATTCCCCAGGGGAAGAGCAGAGGGAGATTGCCTTGTTCCTTGTTGTAATCTCAGCTGTCTCCGGGGTCTTTAACAATTCTCTACGCGAAAAAGTCACACTTGGCTCGCTTTTCCACCATTCTCTATCCTACCACATTCAAGAATAATGCATTTGTCGCCCGACGCACTTGCAAATTGGATAGTTACACTCTGATTCCTTTCAATAACATTTTACCGTTCAAGTTATACGGAGTACGAATTTCTTGGAAAGTCGCGAATGTCCCGGGGAATCTAATCTCTTAAACTATTAAATTCTCCATAAAAATTATTGAACAAATTATAGCGAATAACGAAGAATATCTAATTGATGATTTTAAAAATTTTTCGTTGCTAAAAATTTATCAAATCTGACCGTGGAGTTTCATACGATTCTCGAAGGGGATAGAGTAGAGTAGGGGTCGATACATCCCCTGGAAGTGGAGTTTCATACGATTCTCGATGGAGAGTAGAAAAGGGGAAAAAATGGAAAACACTGTAAAGAAAAAAGACGAGCGAAGGGTGTGAATATTTATTCAGCACTTAGGAGGGAGAGAAAAAAGTTGGCAAAAAGGGGGTGAGAGTGAGAGGAGGGGGCCAATATGACGGACGCGGGTGTGAGGAAAAGGCGAAGATTCTTCCCCCAGCCTCTAGTATTTCACCATAGCCATTTTTTTTTTTCTTGTAATACTGTTGGCGAAAGGGAGAGCCAGGGGAGAGTGAGAGAGTAGAAGTAGAAGGGAAGGTAGATAGAAACAGTGGTGCTGAGGGAGAAGGGCAGACGCGCGCCAGAGGGAACAGCGCTGCTGGTGTGTTCGTTTGCTAGACCTGACCGTCGCACCATTCTCGTATACCTTTCTCGTACATACAGATGCCTGTATATATGTAACTGGCAGATCAATAATTTCCGATACTGGTGAGTCTCTGGGAAGCAATGTCGCGACGCCCTGCCGACGCTTTCGACGTTTCCGATGTTTTCGACCCTCTGCACTCCCCACGACGATGAAAACGCATTTCGATCTGTTCCCTCATTCAGCTACAAGGATGAATACCTCTCCCACGTCGTCCAATAACCAATACAGAAGCGCACAAACTCAATCGAATTAATTATCCCCGGTAATTAGGATTCATTAATTCAATATTTTACAAAGCGTATGAAGAACTTTCGAAGGTCAATGCGTAGTCAGATCGATGAAATCGATGGAGCCCCGGCTAAGCACATTTTCCCTCAGCTTTAACGGTATACAAGAGAGAAGTACGGGAACGTTCTGTCTCTTTTGTCTCTCCAAGGGAATTCTCCCGACGGCTAGGGGTTGGGGGGTTCTGGGCTTCACTGGTGTGCACCTCCTAGGTGGAGCACCGATTTTGCCAGTACCTTGACAAGACAAGATGAGAGAATTTTCTCTCTGGAAAAGAGAGAGCCACGGTGTGTGTGCGCGTGAGCGTAAACTCGCCAGGAAGGATTTAGGGAGCGAAAAAAAACGGCTGATGGAGAGGGAGTTAAAAGAGAAAAAAGGAAGAAGACAGAGTGAGAGGGAGGAATGGAAATGTACAAAAGAGAAATACTAAGAGGGGGTAGTGTGTGGAGTAGAGAGGGGAGTCGTGGTTTCATCGGATTGGTGAAGAGAGGGGAGGGATGAGGGTAAGAGGGAAATGGGATGGGAGTGGGAGATGGAGAGGGAAGGGAGGGAGTGTTGGCAGCGCCTCGGTGGCGAGTTGTGGAGAGTTGATTTCTCGTCGGTGAATGGAGCATGTCGAGCACGTCCAATATTGAAACGTGAACGTGGCTTCGCGCGTGCACCAAAAGTAATAGCCCCTCTCCCTTCGCCCCTCCACCACTGTTGAAAACTTCTTTACCCCTCCCTCCACTCACCATGCAATAAGATACCAAGTTGTTGGTGTGTATACGATGGGGAGAAGGTACGCTCGTGAGAATAACCAACTACACTAGCGCGAGTACGAGGTTTTCGGTATTCCGCGCTAGCCAAATAGCTCCGTGCGGACTGTATGTGCTCTTTCTTTGGAGCCGTAAGCGTAAGTTATTCCCTTCAGCATCGCTATTTATTTATTTAATGTTTTTCATTCGTTTTTTTTTAAATTGTTCCATTGATTTTCCCCAGGAAAGAGAGTGTCGGATTTCAATTCGTTAGTCGTTCCTCGTGGCTGATTAGCGGGGAATTTATTTGTAGAAGTGAGTTCACTATTTGGAGTGGTGTTTTGTGATACCAGTGCGTGTGTATTTATCTTTATCTCATAATCCTTTCTCGCCCAGTTTATTGTTGCCGATTTGGCATTCGATGGGTAGATTTTTCGAGTAATTTTAACACTCGATTTACGGTTTATTGGCCCGTGGTTGATGCTTCGTGTTTCGTGTTCACATGCCACGCAAGCATTTACAGCGATTTTCGATTGTGATATAATCGTTGGGTGTCATTGCTGTAGTCTTTTGACGTTTTTAAGTGCCTCAGGTTTTTAGTTTATTTCTATGAATTTATTTTATTTTTTTTCGCCAAATGCTGCGCCTTTTGCGTTTTATTTGAAATCCCAGGCTGACCTTTCGAAAATACGATGACTGTGGGGTCGTACGGTGTGTTAGTGGACAGAGAGGGGCCCCAAAGGGGGAGAGCAACCGAGAGTAGAGTATAGTATAAGTTCTGCGAGGAATTTGTTTTCACTGTTGTAATGGGTGCACGGTGCTCTCTGTGCGCTGGAAAATGTTAAGTGGGATGTGATCCACCGTTGTTCAATTCCCCTTTACTTATTCTCTCCCCCGACTTCTTCCTCATTTCGTCTCTATCCGTCTCACCCCCTCCCTCTCATGCCTGATTTATTTATTTTATATCACTCGTCTGCCGGTAATTTTGAGATTGAATTTTGCGCGACGATTTGAATAAAATGGTGGTACGATTTCGAAAAATTCTCCACGACTTTTCTTTACTCTTTATTTTTCACAAATCGATATGCATGGATTTTCATGTCCGTGTGCGACTACCCTTTCCATCCAATTTAGTTCTCCATGGTTTCTAACTATGGTTTCACCTCTCCTTTTTTTTTTTTTTTGCCACCGTCGATTATCTTGAAGGATGGTCTGGGATATGGGTGTTTGTACGAGGTTTAATTTGTCTTCTGCACCAGCGTGGAAACAGTGTCAAGCTGTATTTCTGAGTTTGAATGATCGTAAAGTCTTTTTTTTTCCACAGTTCGTCGCGCTATGGTGCCAATATGGCTCAGATAGCAATCTTATCTCTGATGAAAATGATCCGAAATCTGTTTCTAGCGTTTTGTTCACCTGTCGCAGGTGAAATACAAAATTTTGTCGCGTAGAAAGTCGTCGTCACTCGAGATTTAGACAGTTGTCTGATTTATCATTAATCAAAAGGATCTGAAAAAATTGATTAGAATGATTAATAATGATTGCAGATCCCTATTGGCATGGAGCTGGGAGCGCACTGATAGTGATAGTCTATGAGATCTTGGTTTCTATGCATTGCCTGCCAAAGAAGAACTGAGCCCAATGTTTCCACACAATTCTAGTTCACATGAGATTTCTACCGAAACAAATGCCTTCGTACAAAATTCCAAGGTGAGTTGAATTAAAGTGTGAGATTGGAGGAAATGTGAGACTTATTGGAGCAGTCCAGTGATGCAATACATTGCAATGGAGTCTAATCATAGCCAACGGTCTTCAATGGTTTTTTTTTATATCCTCCTTTATTTGTTGCAGGGGGATGTAGTAGTATTAGAGGAAAGCAGTCTGAGTGGGGCGCGGGAAGGGGAACGACCAGAGCATGCTAGGTACTGTGATATCGAATTCATAAACAGCAGCATGATGGCAGCACCTACCAGCCACCCCAAAGCTACCGCCGCCAATGACTTCTTAACCGTCCTGCCACGCCAATCTGGTAGGTTTCAATTTTTTATTAACTAAGATATGAGGTAGATGATGAGATACGAGGGGCTGAAATGATCATGAGGTGGTCAGTTCCACTCGGTTTATGAGAGTCTCCATTTTGAAATGAAATTGCTTGGAGTAGTCATTATTGCTTCTTTGTTCTTATCTTTTTCGGCTTGTTGTCCCACTGAATTTATCCTGGTCGACGAATTCAATATTTACCGATTATTCTGCGAATATCTTCGACTTTTCGGCTGAATTCCATTGTTTTTGGCGTATTTATGCTTTTATTTATATTTAGAAACGTTGATTGACATGTTGAGGGCAATATAAACACAAGAATTTCGGACGTTTTATCGCTCGAGTTTTAAACAATTTATCCGGTAAACAAGTAGATGAATTTAAATAAATCAAAGACGATATTTTTAGTTTTCCAAGTACATCCAAACACCTTGCAATTTTTTTTATTCGTTGGGATTTAATAGAATAATTTGACTTTATGAGAAATAAATATCTGACACGGACAAGGACTCTCAATAATTAGTTTAGACGATATTGTGAGCGTAGTGGTTAATAGTTGGTGTCAATGTGGATTGGATTGGATTGCCGATTGAGAGGTGGAAAAATGGTGTGATGTTGCAGGTGAGCTCAGCTTTGCCGATGGAGGTGAGGCCTGCCAGTCAGTGGCACCAGAAACCACAAAAAATCCAACAAATCACCTTCTAACCTACGATAATAATGATAAAATAAACAACCACAACAATGCAGAACATAATCATCACAAGTACAGAAAGCAAAATACACGGGGCTCGCTTGGTAAACTGGGCAGCTCAGCCGATAATTCTAAGTGTACGTGTAAGCCGTTAAGTGATAATAAGAATAGCTTTAGCGTTATAAGCATTAGGGTACTAATGTTAAGTGTACGTTTAAATGATACGATAGGCGTTGATTGTTGTACCGCTGGGGTACCTAGCCTAGTTAGGATACCCAAGTCTGATTGCCCCCAGCGGCAGCTTTATCGCGCCAAACTTGTCGACAATTACTCCTTACTAGGGTCCCGCCTTCACCACGGCGAAAACAATAACATTAAGGCTAATATTAGATTAATAAGTAATAATAACTCAAAGTCTGTGATATTGCTCAGCTCAACAAGTTACGGTGACTATTACTATCTAGATGTTACTGGCGATGGATTCGTTGGTATTAATGCTGTTGGAATCCCGGTTATTTTAGTTGATAATGATACGAGTTATGGTAACCGATCAAATCGTGTCGAAGCAATTGGCGAAAGATGTTCAGTAGTTACCACTATGATTGGTGATATCAGAGCAATTGGCCTTGACGTCCAGCACTACAATCAGAATATCAGTAATTCAGTGAACGATGCTTGCCAATTAAATCACGATTTCATTGACAACTGGGATAAATCGGTCCTATCTCGTGCTCACAAATTAACGGCTATGAATGCCTGTTCTTCCATTACGCTTATCGTTTCCAAAAACGAATTCACCGACCGCATTAACGATTATTTGCAATCTCTCATTGACGATGATAATCTCACTCAAGTCCGAGCATCGTCTCCAGTTACTTCTCAATATTATCAACAATTACTGTCGCACGTCACCGTCACCAAGCTGACGCAACGCATATGTGTTCCATTATTGATTAAGAGCAAGGGTTACGATAAAAACAACAACGTTGCTAATAATAGTGATTATTGTAACATTGAAGATACTGAAGGGTCTGCTGAAAAGAAACATCATCGTCGTTGTAACGATAATACGACTACGATGAATATTAATGGTAACAATAATCAAGATGTTATCCAAGACATTGTTAACGTCGCTGTGTGCTACAAGACTAGTGTAATGACTACTAATATTAGGATGTTAGGGTCTCAAAATGATGGTATTAGTCGTACCGAAGCAACAATATTTACTGTTGGTGCTCTTTCATTTCAGGATAACAATAAGTCTAACATGCCTCTAAATGATAGTTTTAAGATAAATAAGTATCATGTGTCTACTAAGATTGCTCTTGAATCTAACGGTAATGTTAAGTCCGTATCTAAGTCTAGCGATAAGTCTGAAATGTCTCATCAAGCTCGACTTGACGTGTCTGATGATGAGCGAGTTGTACGTGTCAGATCATCTAACAACATTCCTACACTTACTACCTGCGAGCCTACGATGACGCTTAAAAGCCAATCAGCCACCGTCACATCCCAAACTGAAACAGTACCTGCATCATTGCGTGTCGCTTTCGAGAATCAATCGATTGTCGTGAGCCCCCAAACTCCTACGAATACATTGAATTCTTATGAACAAGTGAATGATTATATCAACGAACGTTTTGCTGATAATGCTGATGCAAGCCCATCAACCGGTCATTGGGCAAGACTGATTGCATACGTTCGTGCTCTGATTCCTGCTTGCAACGAGGCATACAAAAACAACGAGAGCAACTGCGAAAGCCAACGTTATCTACTCAAGCGGGCCCTACACTGTCTATTCGGTGAATCACCAAAATATACTCACAGTGATCCCAATGTTGATTACAAAAAACGCTGGGGTATTCCGATCATCCTATCACTGGCTGGTGGAGGCGAGAGTTCCCTCAATACCGGTGGTGGCACCAACTGGGGCTCATCTCAAGCAACAACACCAAATAATAATAATCCCAATCCATCTGGCTGGGGTGGTACTCCAGGTAATGCACCACCACCATCATCCAACTGGGGTACAAACAATGTTAATCGTCCTGTCACTAATCCAAATCAAAATCAAAATCAAGGGCCACCGGGTAATCAAACAAATCCATCGACAGTGAATAAAACAAACAATTCAAATGCAGCCTCTAATTCACAAGCAGGTCCACCAACATCTCAGCCAGCTAATCAAACCAATCAAGCCAGTCCAAATGGCCCTTGGCCGCAGGGTAAGCCCAACCCATCGGTAGGACCAGGGCCGAATCAACCAGCGCCAAACAACAATGGAAACAATCTCCAGCAATCGCCCCCCTCTGGTGGTCCACCAGGTGCCAATGGTAATAACAATCAGGCAGTCTCACCCCAGAGCAGTGCAGCATCGACTGGAAGTGCGAGTAATTCATCACCACCGACAATGCCCCCCAATCCATCGACCAAGCAACAATTGGAGCAACTTAACACGATGAGAGAGGCCCTCTTCAGCCAGGATGGCTGGAGTTGTCAACACGTCAATCAAGATACCAATTGGGATGTGCCAGCCTCACCAGAGCCAACAGTGAATAAGGACGGTGTTCCAATGTGGAAGCCCCCAGTGAACAATGGCACCGACCTCTGGGAAGCTAATCTTCGCAATGGAGGCCAGCCACCGCCTCCCCAACAAGCTAAAACACCTTGGGGTCACACTCCCTCGACAAACATCGGTGGAACATGGGGTGAGGACGACGAGGCAGCTGACTCCTCCAACATGTGGACAGGGGCTCCAACACCGACTCAACCCAATACACCACAGTGGGCAGGTGCTACTAGTAATCAGACTGGATCGAACTGGGGTGATCCGAGAGTTGATCCTCGTGATCCCAGAGATATCAGATCAGTTGATCCTCGCGAAATGAGAGATCCACGCGACCACCGCATGTCGATGGATCCCAGAGAGCATCTCCGCCCGATGGACCCTATGGGACGTGACCCGAGAATGGCTGATATGCGTGGAGACATCCGTGGAGGAGTCTCTGGACGTCTCAATGGGGCCAGTGCTGATGCAATGTGGGGACAACCACCAGGACCACCTCATCATCAGATGGGACATCAGCATCCCTCAGGGCCACCTGCTAAAATGATCAATCCATCGAGTATGAATCAGTGGGCAGCACCACCACCCAAAGAAATGATCCCTGGTAAACCTTCTGGCTGGGAGGAGCCCTCACCACCAGCTCAACGGAGAAATGTGCCGAATTACGACGATGGGACTAGCCTGTGGGGCAATCCAGCTGCCAATCAGCGTCCCATGGCTGGTAGCAAAGTGTCTCACTGGAAGGATGTACCCTCTCAGAATTTGGGAAGGGGTGGAATGCAGTGTCCACCTGGAATGCCACAAAATCGCATGCCTGGTCAGCCAATGAAACCAGATGTCGGGGGGCCTGTGTGGGGACATCCCGCTGCACAGGGACGCAATGGATCGTGGGGTGAGGGACCTCATGAGACTACCAACTGGGATGAGCCTAAGACTCCAGCTTCATGGAACGAACCACCACTCAATCCAGCTTCTTGGGGTGGACCCAGCCATAAGCCTAAGGCCATGGGACCCTCTGGCAGCTGGGGAGACGCTGATATGGAGCCTGTACCCAGCTGGGGTCATCCTAGCAAACCTGCACTCACTAAAGAGGTCATTTGGAACAGCAGAGAGTTCCGGTATCTCTGTGATTTGGGGTACAAGGTAAGCCCGATTTTTTATTTTTATTCGGGGGGGATAAAATTCTCTTTACATATTTTTGCAATTTTTATTTTCATTCTCAGGCATTTATTTCATGGAAAAATCGTGAATGCACGTATATCCAATTCAATTATTTAGAAGAGTCAATCCAAAATTATTAAAATGCCGGAAAATTCACCATTAAATTCGAAATTGAATGGAAAGTTTTTTCCGGCACGAATTTCGAACAGTCTATAAAAGTTTAATAAACGTCAGTAATTATTGAAAATTGAAAGAGTCATTTTCCAAAAGTGAAGTAATTGTAATGATTTTACAAATTGTTGATCATATCGTAATTTCTTTGGAAAAATATAGAAGGAGGATGTGGAAACAGCCCTGAGAAAGCGTGAAATGAATCGCGACGAGGCTCAGGAGCTCCTTCAGATTCGTGCACTGGATTGGCGTCGTCACGATGCTCCGTCCGGTTACGATCCAACCAACCCATCATCCATGTCTGGTGCATACCCGAAATTCAGCCACGTCGCTCAGCAAATGTCTTTCCCACCGGTAAGTCCAGCCATAAAATTCGCATGTAATTGATTACATTTCCCACGTGTACATTTTTACCGGAGAGATTTCAAGAGTTAACCATTGAGTCCTGGGTACGGTGAAAACTGATTTTGAGTGGATAACGCTGAATAACAAAAAAAAAAAAACCATGGTTGTGTGTCACTCGAGAGTTTAGGTGTTTCCTTTGTTCCTCTATTGAAGCCAAAATTCTTGCATTTGAGAGAAGTAACTAGTTTGCTAGCGTAAGACAATTGTAATTGGGTTGGTGCTCTTCTGGTGAAGGTGGTTAACAGGTAATCAGGTGCCGTAGCGAATACAGCCAGTTATTATGGTAGTTAGCTTTTTTAAAAAGGTTGTGTACAATTTCTACCTTTGGAAAATCTGTCTTGAAATATTTTTTCAATGACTCTTCCTGGCGAAGGCTGAACTGTCTGAATGTGGAACGAAGTTCCCGACCAGTTCTTCAATTTAAAAAAATAATTGAAGAGGATTAAGATTCGATCACGTTCAACTCTCATTTCTTCCTGAATTCCTGGTTGTATTCGCCCGCAATGCTGACCCTCTGAAGAAGTGAAATATAGTGGAAGGCGACTAGGTAAAGTAGCTGGGGTACAAGGGTGTTATGTAACGCAGGGCGAGTGCCTGGGTGTGCGGCCTAGCGGGGGTGCAACTGGCAGCGTAAGTGGTTCGGTGGCCAGCGCCAGCCTCTTGAAGCTCCAGCAACAGCAGCAACAGCAAAAGGCAGCAGTGCAAATGCAACCACCGCAACAGCAAACCGCCAATCCTCCGCAGCCGCCCTTTAACCAGGTGACAATACCTGACAAACGGCACACGCATATGCGCAGAATTCACAATTCTCCCAAAAATAGTCTCGTTACGATTCTTGTTATTGAAAGCAATCTTTTCTCTCTTCTCTCTCCTGCTTAAATGCATCCATGACAATGAATATTACACCTCCATTGGCTTTCATATGGTTTTTGCCTGTGCGTTTGTTTTGCCGGTTTATTTTCCATTTATTACCGTTTGTTTGCATGATTGCTTCGTCTGTGCTACAAAATTCTCATGCAGCATGAGCTCGAGAAAATTAATAAAAAAGTCATGTGCTTTTAGCACATTCCAATGTTGATTGCAATAGCGTAAATAATACTGGTCGACAGCGAAAGTCAATTATTCAGATAGTAAATCATAACGAATTGAGGGTAATTGGATGAATAAATTCTGTTCAGGCATCGAGAACACCCCAGAATCCACCGAGCACCCAGCAGCTTAGAATGCTCGTGCAGCAGATTCAACTCGCCGTCCAGGAGGGTTATCTCAATCAGCAGATACTCAATCAACCCCTGGCACCGCCCACTCTGATTCTATTGAATCAACTGCTCCAACAAATCAAAGTTCTTCAGCAACTACACCAGCAAAACTCGGTTCAGAGTTCTCTCAAATGCAACAGCCAGACTGTTCTCCAAATAAGTGTTCAGATAACAAAGACAAAGCAACAAATAGCAAATCTCCAGAATCAGATAGCCGTGCAGCAGGCGACATATATGAAACAGCAGGCACAACAGCAACAGCAGCACTCAGCCCCGTCCCAAACGTCGGATTACTACAAGACTTCTGTGCATGATCCAATGTCCGCAATTCAGAATAGCTTCAGTGACTTGATGATGAATAAGGAGCCACCAGTGAGCCAACAACAATCGAGATTGAATCAGTGGAAGCTTCCATCACTCGACAAGGATGGGGATATTACTGGCAATGAATTCTCACGTGCGCCAGGTACAACGAGCAAACCACCGCAGACCTCAGGTCTCAGTCATACTCACACAAGTCCCAATATGAACCCATTACTGGGACAGGCAGATGGCACTTGGTCAACGAGACTTGGTGACAGTGGCTGGCCAGATGCTGGCAACAGTGATGCCACTGATGGAAAGGATTGGCAGCCAGGCAGTGCTGCATTCACTGATCTAGTCCCAGAGTTCGAGCCTGGCAAACCATGGAAGGTAATCACTTTTCAGTTTATCAAATTAATATTTGAAAAAATATCTTACGCTTTTACTTTAAGAAATATTTCACGATATTTTGTCTCTTGATTAAATGAATTCGATTTTAAAATTAGCATTTTAAATCATCTGTTTTCTTGTGCGCTGTTGAAGTGTACTATGTGTGCGAGTTTGTCAGGATTTGCCTATATTTGGTCTTTTTAGGGCACTCAGATGAAGAACATTGAGGACGATCCTAGTATTACTCCAGGCTCGGTTGTGAGATCGTTGTCACTAGCAGCCATCAAGGATCCCGATACCATATTCTCATCGAGCTCCAAAACATCACCACCACCTCAGCCACAAAATGTTGATACTTCAATTCCTAGTCTGAGTAACTCAACGTGGAGTTTTAATCCACCTGCAACAACACCCAGCGCATTCTCAAGGTAATGAATTTATTTGGAGTTTGTCTCACGGAGTTTGTAAAAATTACGGACAATTTTCTTCATTTTTTTCTTCTCCACAGCTCTAAAAATACCTGGACAGACTTAGCGCCACCGCCAACAGCAGTTACCTCAGAATTATGGGGTGCTCCAATGAACAAAGCTCGTCAGGGTCCACCACCTGGTCTCAGCAGCAAGGGTGTCAGCAATGCCAGCAATGGTTGGGCTGGATTAGGTGGAGTTAGTCGATCATCCAGTTCATGGGGTCTCCAATCTGGTGGTGGTGCCGGTGGTGGAGGAGGTAGCAGCAATGCCGGATGGCTTGTTGGTGGTACTTGGCTACTGCTCAAGAATTTAACACCTCAGATTGATGGCTCTACGTTGAAAACACTCTGTATGCAACATGGGCCTGTTCAAGATTTTCGTCTGTACCTGAATCATGGAATTGCCCTTACTAAATACTCTTCACGGGATGAGTCTAGCAAGGCTCAAGGAGCCCTGAATAACTGCGTCCTTGGTAACACGACAATATTCGCCGAGTCTCCAGCAGACAGCGAGGTCCACACACTCCTCCAACAGTTGAGTCACGGTGGTCAACAGCAAACAGGCAGCTCGGGTGGTAGTGGCTGGGGCCTCCGCTCCTCCAACAAAGCAGGACCACCACCTGACACCTGGGGAGGCACTTCCAGCCAACTTTGGGGCGCTCCACCTACCACCAATTCCCTCTGGAGCAACACTGGAATTGACAGCGGTGAAGCACACAGGACAACACCAAGCTCCCTCAACTCGTACTTACCCGGAGATCTTCTGGGAGGTGAGTCGATGTAGAGCGGAAACACAGGGCATCGAGTCCACTGGGCCATCACCTAAGCTCTCTGAGCTTAAGTGACAAAAAAAATAAATCATCAGCGTCAATAATTAATCTTCGTCGATCGAAATAAATAGGAAACAAATGTTGGAGCCCGTCAACGCCGGCAAAATTGTTTCATCCTAATTTATCTTCCTGATTTTATTTAGACTTCGTATTAGAGACAAAAAAAACCTTCCATTCTTGATTATTGGCTTCTTTTTGGAACGGTTTCCCTTGGAATTTCCCGGGGAAAAAAAAACTAAATGATCAAAGACAGCGCGACATCCGAGCACACATTGACGCTAGAGTTGAATGATTACAAAATGTCGATTGAGTCTTCTCGAAAATGTCAATTAACGTTAATAATAATGATGATTATCGGAACGAGTTACTTAACAAAAAGACAAGCGAATGAAAATTAATATAAAAATAAATAAACAAGAAAGAATGGAAGAACAGCCAAACGATCTTACTGCGATAAACCAACAAATGAAAACAACACTAAATTAAACAGACAAAATGTTTTAAATAAAGATAAAAGTTTAATTACGAGAATAGGAAAGTTTAATAATTTGAATTAATCCGATCGGTTATCTCGGAGACCATCGAATCGGGTTCAAGTGCGCATGAACGTGCAAACACACCCAATCCCCCCTAAAAATCTCCTAAACCAAACCTAAACGAAGCTCTCTCGCACCTCATGCAATGTGCACTGAGCTTGGATTTTTATCTCGGGTTTTCCGACGTGGAATTACGGAGTTATAATGAAAGATGAAAAATTCAGAAGCCACTTCATTACCTCAATTCTCGTAACTCTCACGCACAATGTGACCGTGTCGATAATTTTCAATTGAAGACAACAATTATTTCCCTAAATCTAAAAAATGCCTGTTTTTCCTATGATACCGTAATTCCCCTCTGAACCCGCAGCAGAGTAAGAGCGATATAAAGAAAAAATTTAAAAAAAAAATACACAAGTAATAAAAAACAAAGTAAAACCCAAGGCCAAAGGTCTCTGATCGTGTCGGGGAGTGTTCCATTTTTTTTGCTGAACAGTTTCAAGACTGCAGCGAGTATCAAACTTAGACTGTACCAATCTAATCAAAAGAATGAAATCTTGAAAAGAAAAAAATAATGAAAAGACAAAAAATAAAGCATTGACGTCGCTGCCCGCCGTCCTGCTGTGGCTAAAGGACACTAGAGGATAGACGAAAAAAAAAAGAAAATTATGAGACAAAAAAAAAATTTCATAAAACGCGGAAAATTGAAGGGGAAAAAAAAACGGGCTGGCCGGGCAACGACACAACGATACCAAATGTTATCGCAATAACGTAAATTTTATTCTATATTAAATCTAAATGCCACCTGTCGTGCCAATGTCCAGTGTGTCTCTGTACCATTTATTAATGTAGAGTTAAAAAAACGATTAAGGAGGAGGGAAAAAAACTGAAAAAAAAACGAAAAAAAAAAACAAAACTTATTATAAATAGTAATTAATGATTAATGATAAAGATATTGCGTGAGGGAGTTGACAAAAACAAAATAACATTTTAATTCGAGTCAAGTCGTGGTGGCATTAAGTACTGGCCGGTATTAACGTTATGCCTCCTTGTGATAACGAATAACAGCGAGAAATTGTCGAGACTGGGCCAATGGCGAGCGTTGTCCCGTCACTGACCGTTTCCACGTGAGCAAAATGAAAAAAAAAAAAAATGTTTTTTCATAAAAAAAAAAAGGAACGTTGTTTAAGGTTTAAAAAAAGGAAATTGAGCATTCTTTTTTCCAACGTCGAAGGTACCTGATGGACTGAAAACCAAACGACGACCGAGCAAAAATAAAAATAGATGTGTTTTTTTTTTCTACTCCACGGCGAGCTTTTTTCTTGAAATGATCGGCAATAATCTGGGGCGATTGGTCATGGAGAAGAATTGAGCGGAGTTGCAAAGAGTTGAAACGTAAAGATTAATGTAACATTAAAACCAACAATCAGACATTAACCGAGGGAGTTGATGAAGTAATGAGAGTAAAAGGAGAAACAATCGTGACGTGAGAATTTAGGTGATTAAATTATTGGAGAGGGCCACAGATAAGGAAGAAAACAGCGCGATGATTATAACTATGAATTTGAGTGACCCACTGCGCTAGGAACTTCATAAATATAGAGTAAACTATAAACCTCGGAGTATATCTAAGCGAATTTAATGTTTAAGAATTGAGATAGAAACATTTCACGATGAAATAGCGAGCTAAGATGTTTGGGGAGTGACTGGGGAGAAAGATTATATGACGGGGGAGGATGTTGGAGGATGATGACAACACGAAAACACGCTTATCTAACAATACAACGTCGACGTAAGAAGTTTCTTTATACATATGTACATTTGTAATGACACATTGCACACGAATTGCGAGAATGAGGAATAATCATGGTTTACTTAATTGATAGGGGTGCATGATTGTGGAGAGTCTAAAACACGTACTATTTGCTAGGGCCCATCGACAGCTAATCACTATTTAATTATCTTAATTTTTCTCTTTTTTCTCATTTTTCTTCTTTTATTCGAATCTTTCGCCTTTTGTTGAGCATCAGGTGAAGGTGTTTTCAGAGTTAATGCCCTGGTATTCAACGGACGTAGACTTAAGGATTTATCGAATGGATAAGTGTTTTAAACGGTATTTAAGAGTTGACATATAGTTGCCCGGAGTAAAATCCATTTGAGACGGGTGACAAATTTTATTATCGAATTATATCGGAGGATAACCATTGATTAACAGGAATTAACAACTCTGAATTTATTAGTCAGGATTGTTCCTCGTACTTGGCATTTAACTTCGGGCTGTCGTGAATTTTTAATCATTATTTTTATTTTTATTTATCGGCTATCGGTTTAATGATGATTATTGTGTTCTTAGTGAGAAATTTACGGGGTGGAAATTGATGAGAATCTGTTGAGACATTGCTAAACTCAAATTGTTTGAGATCAACGAGAAAGAGAGAGACCGAGAGTCAAGGGATACGATTAATTGTTTAAAATAGATCCAAGTAAATTGAATATTTCTTTTTCCAAGTATTCCGCCACGTGGATTAAACGTGTGATTAAATGTAATATATCGAATCGAATCAAAGAAGTGTCGAAGTTTCAAATCTTTCTCGGAGACGTAGAAAGATTATTTCTTGTGATAATATTGAATTTAGATAACTAGGATCTCTTTTGCGAATCCTGAAGAGATTTCAAGCGTGGGGATGGTGGGGTGTCATAATTAAACTAGAGAATGGAGGAATAGAGAGTCGAGGGTGGAGGGTAAAAGTCGCCTTTGTATATCACCCCGGGGGAATAACGGCGCATAAGTGGAATTAAACTGAAAAAATCCAGAAAAAGAAAAAAAAAATATTATAATAACTTAGATATAAACAATTGCTTTTCGACGCTCGCAGTCCCCCCTTGATACACGTAATATAATTGCTAATATAGAATATAATTTTAGTATCAGTAGAGAAAAAAATAATTCACCATTTTCATATATATATATATATGTGTAGATATGTATATATATATATTTATGAAGAGCTATTAGCCTATCGTACATTACCTATTGTTTAAACGATTATTGATATTTCGAGGGAGAAAATAGGCGGATTATCGGTGGATTGCCGAGTGGTCCAGTATTTTCAATCTCCTACAAATTCCAGTGGAAAATAATTAACATAAATGCCCGAAGACTCGGAGCAGACGATCACCATCATCGCTCTTTCTCCCTCAGTAATCCCTGTTCGTGAAAGAAAGTTGAACGATAATAATTGAAGTGCAATGAATTAATCGCACAACCTTTACTGCTCGTCCATTAATCTTTAAGGATCAATGTCTTTCCTGTTATCAATGTTCGCTTGCTCTCTCCACTCTCACTCTCTCTCTTTTTATCTCATCAAGCTCGATGTAACTTTGCTCTTAGTATTATAGCACTGAGCTTTTACGTATTGAAAAACTTAAAAATAAATAATATGCCTGTTCCCTTCCTGTCGAGCCGCAGAAACAAATTCTCAACAACGATGCGGATACAATCATGACAAAAAAGATATTTTAATGTTAGAGAGCGTTTCCATTTATTCTGATGAATCGTTCAAATTAATCTCGAGAAAGAGCGATTTATGATCACTCACACTCCCGACGAGTCTCTCATTTCCATCTCGATACCAAAAACGAGTCTAATCGTGACTATTTATTCTCATTGGAGTTGAAGCTGAGGCTAGTGGCCCATCGTGAAAATCACACAATAACTATGTTTAAAATTAAAAAAAAAAAACTATCTAAAATACAAAACGATAAAACTCGCGAGCTCGATCGTGCCGGACGGGTTCTACGTTTTATTTATTTTTTTTTCTTTAATTAATCGCGAGGCAGACGATTATTTTCGAGTACATTAGGATTTAAGATAAGGAAAAAACACCTGCAATGTGATATTCTCGTGTCTTGTCCGACGAGAGACGTTGTTCTAAGAATATAGTTGACGTTTGCGCGTAATTTTAGGAAAAAAAAATATGAAAAAATACAAAAAAAACATTAAGTAACTATAATAATCGTCGGATGAGGACCGTTGGCTCTTCATATCAGGGAGAGTGACGTAGACTATAAATTTAGACAAAAAAAAAATCGAAAAATCCAAAAAAATGTTTGAAAGGTGCGAGTGAGGATGAACAGGTGTGAGTGTGTGCATTTGACGTTTGTTATACATTAAGGAATTAACATTGTCTTGGCTCAAAGATGAATATTGCGGTTTTCCCCACATAACACATTTATTCCCCAGTCTATGTATTTTTTATTGCTCTTTATTTCCCATCGTAGGTTTTTTTTTCGGTTGATAAAAATGAACGAGTGTCTTATATCATTATGACTATTATTAATAATTATGAATTATGATTATTATTATTATTATTATTATTATTATTATTATATATATTTTTTTTTTTGGTGTACCGGGTATTTCTTCCGGCGAATTTCTCTAGTATCGCCTTCGATAATATGTAGGATCTGATTTTCTATGCCATTTTAGTTCGTAAGAGTGTTTTTTTTTTCTATTTTGGTTTTAACAATTTTTTTTTTTTACTATTATGTAGCGTTATGTTTGAAGAAAATTGATTAGCTGTTGGAGAAATCCGACATGGCCATTATTGACCTCTTTCAAAGACACTTTA